TTCCCGGCCCCCCGCCCCCGGGCTGCTGCAGCCGCTGCTGCCGCCATTGGTCCATACGCAGTGAGGGGGATTGCTAGAAAAGAAGGAACAGGCATCTCAGGGGCACGGTGGCTACACGGGAAACTCCTCAACAGGAGCCTTCATTTCCTGCTGCAAAATACCAGGCCCACACAGACGTATTGGCTTAGTGCATCACACAGGACATCCGAGAATGACAATAGGGGAGTGCACAGCCCTGCATTTATTGGTATCCTTTTGCACAGCGAATGTCCGGGGGAACTACTAGCCATGCTCTGCTAAGCCCACACCCTGGAGCAGCTGAGGGCACGACATGGAAGAGCTGAACCAGAAGTGGGCAATTTCAGATGTATCCTGTCGCTACTTAGCTTGCGAGATGCAGTTAATCTGAAGCTACAGATCCAGATTTTGGCTGTAAATGTGGAGAAACGCAGCAGCTGGCAGCTAAGCGTCCTGAGGCTCGGCCCCTCCTCTCTGCCCCTCGGTACTATTCTTGAATAACAGTTTAATAGCCTCTTTCTCCCTATGTCTCTACTCTGCTCAGGATGCACCATCCTCCCCACTCTGAGTTTTGCTCCTGAACTGCTCAACCCCTTGCCATTCACTGTAGAAGAGCAGGAAACATATACCTAGGGAGCAGGAACTAGAAATGGCTTAATTAAAACAGTAAGTCTTAATTTATATGTAGCAGTTCTAATTCCCAACTCTACTGCCACAGGCATCCAGCCCTCGGGGCAGGAGGCATCTAGCCAGTATGTTTCTCTTTGCCCTTAAAATGACTGGGTCAGCATTTCATGCTTGAATGTGAAATTCACTGTGATTCTGTTTAGAGCACCATAAAAAGAGGTCAGAACAAATCAATCGCGTTAAGTCTGAAACCCAGACTAGCTTATAAGGGAATATTTAGTAGCAGGCACCAGCCTGTTTCAAGCAAACGTCATATGAGGCTTATATCTGGGTTAGCCGCTCATTACAGGCCCTGGGCCAATGTGAGCATGTTGCTGCCTCGCATCACCCCCAAAGATGCTGTTCCAGGGAGGAAAGGCTGCTGGCAGCCACCCTCCTGCCCCATCATTGCTTCAAGTCCCTAACACACAGCTGAATGAACGCGGTTTTACTGAGAAAGGCGGCCAGGTCTTCTCAAAAAGACTCCAGTTCTTTTTGCACGAAAAACCCTTCTTGCCTTTGCAATCCATCTACTGAGACACCAGGTTTCTGTTGTGATGACAAAGCACCTGCATGTTAGCTCCCTGCGTGCTGGAGCAATCATCCCTGCTTGTGCCATCCCCTCATCTCAGTTCCGCTTGCCAAGCCCATAAAGCGCAGCCCATTTACACGCACGCATCCACTTGAAGGCACAAGGGCCCTCGAGCACTGCACAGCTCGCTGGGCCTTTGTAGGAACGAAGGGGGCCCTGCCCTTCGTGGGACCAGCTCCAGCCTATATGTGGGAATCGCAGCTCTTGGCCTAGCCAAGAGGCTGCACAGTGACTGTTTAGCAGTAGGTAAGCGTAACGGGAAGGGAAGAATGCCACAATCCCCAGCTGGTACTTCAGCGAGACACTCAGGACTGTAAGCTAACATGGCACCCAGCCAGGACAGCAGCATTAATAACTTCTTGTTGTACAGAGCCCTGGTGCACCCCAGCCACCGGTGACAGCCAGGCCCCGGGCAATTCACCTCCACTAGGAAGAGGCACAGCGCAGCTGGGGGTGGATCTTGGAGGGAAAAGCACTTTTGTCAGGTCACCAACATTCCTCTACAAATTTTATGGTTTTGATGAAAAAGACACATGTAAATACACACTGGACCCACATCTCCTTTTCTTGGCAACCAAAAGGCTCAGAGGTGGGGGTCAGGTGCTTGTGCAGTTCCATACATGGTGTCAGGGAAGGGTTTTATTAAGTGGGAGCTAGGATTTAGTCTCCCCCTGCCTCCCTCAGGGCAATTTGTTCGTTGGTGGCTGCCAACCTCAGCATCCTCAGGAACAGAGGCTCCCTGAGGATCGACACGGTTCTGTGCCACAGAAACCCCCTTTCAAGCCTGTTTGTACTGTTAATTCCAGGAGAGCTTCTCAGGAAGCTTTTCCACACCCTCATTGCAGAGAGATTCGAACCCTGAAACAGGTGGGGGCAAGGAAGCGCTGGAGAGGAGGAACACCACAGAAATGAGATGGCACACGGGGAGCAGGGTGCTACACAAAGCTGCTTTTCTACGACAAAAACCATGGACAGGACAGAGCTGGGGAAAACATGGCTGTGGAAGGGAAAGTCAACAGAAGGAACATCACCTAGAGAGAACACACTGCACACAACCCAAGGGCTGAGGATCCAGAGGGTATTTGCATTGTGAGGACACTGAGCCAGGACTAGTCCCTGGAGAATAGTCCTCTGCTCCCGTTTCATTCCACAGTTCGCCACGAGCACTGTGGAACTTTACAGTAAAGTCCCACCACGCTCGCTTCTGTCCGGGAAGCCCGTGTGGGAGTAGCTGGGGAGCTGTACCACCTGGAGCAGGGAGAGCGTTCCCTGCAGCCCCTCCTGCACAGGGAAGTGGGATTAGAGTAACCAGGAGTGCCCCCACACCCTCTCCCTCCTCCCAGCACTCCAAATTTCATCCTTGCAGCAGCTAAGGTTAAGGTCATTTGTAGACCTTTGAGAAGTCACCCTGCTCTCTGCAGTTTTCCATATCTGGTTTACACCCAGCCTGGGGCGAGGAGCTAAAAACGAGGCAAGCAGCAGGAGCAGCCACCTAAGGATTACATGCCTTCATTTGGTATGACTGCATTGCCCTTCTCAGAGGCAACACACATGGCGCTGATTGCCTCTCCATCTTTCCAGCCCCAGCTCTGGATGGAGCTCATACAGATGGAAGAGGAAATAAGGAACGTTTCCAGTCTAACTGCACCAGGCTGTGGAGCAGCAACACCACTGGAACAGCCCAAAGCCCCCTTCTCCCCTTCCAGCTTGTGAGTTTAGCAAATGAGCGGGACTGACCTGTGAGCTCAGGGAGGACGGGGGCACTCGGGAGAGGGGTCCGCTCTACACGGAACTCTAAAAATGAAATGCAAGACAGCTTAGGAACTCGTCAAATGCCCCGAGGGAGACCCCGCAGAGAGACAGCAGCCAGGGTCCGCTGGGGGAGCAGCCTGCAGCCAGAGTGTGACCAGGCCAGTGCCTTCTTTAAACTAATTTATAACTGGTGCTGAAAGGTGCTGGACTCCTGCCCTGGAGACTGAAAGGATCCATTTACCCTTAGAATAAATCTGGCCAAGGCAGGGCAAGCGCAAGCTTCGCTGTGCAGCCTCAGGTCTGCCCTGGAGCACCGCTCTGCGACCCATCCAATCTGACCTCTCGGCTGCCATGCCAGTGGGTGCTCAGTACGTGCCACACTCATCTGGGCATGGGTTTCCAATGAGGCACTCGAAGCCACTATGACTGAGACCCATAAACTGAATTCACGGAGAGCTTCCAGACAGCTAGGAGGCAACAGCAACTTTCAGACACAGTCAGCCTGAGTTCACCTCAGGCGAAAACTTCCCGTTCCCAGCCCCTAACATCAAGACTTCATATATAAATCATCACACTGAGGGATGGAGTAAGGAAGGGATGCTCAGAATTGCCACTTCTCTAGAAAATAGCAAGACATTCTTTTCCCTGAGTGTGCTCTGCCTTGTTCCCTTGCCTCGCAGAGAATGGGAGGGAGAAGAGGCCCCAGAAAGCTCTGAGCAGCTGCGGCACAGCAGGTTCCAGCCATTGATTGCAGAGTCCATGTTCCGAGCACATGGCAGGATTGGGAGCTTGAAACCACCCAGTTTGCGGGGGATCTGCAGCCCACCGCCCCAGCAGATGTTTTCTGGTGGCTGTAAGTGGTCCAGGCGCTGTTCAGAACCCAACTGTAGCGTTGCAGGCGCCTGTGTTTCGGGTGCCTAGCAGCTCCCTGGCCCATGGAAAGCCACATTTTAAAAATCTGTGCTACTTTCAGAGCGGTGGCAACTCTGGTAAAGAGAGACAGACACACACAAAGGCAGCGAGACAGGCAGAGCTGCAGGGGCCCTTCTGTGTCACAGCAGCAGCCCTGAGGAGGAGGCAAAAGGGCATCAGAGCAGCCTTGGGCTTTTCCTGCCACTGGAGTGTGAGGATAATCCTAATGAAGGACAGGCTGCTCCCACCTATTCCAGGGCTTCTCCCCTCCCCCTTCCACACCCGTCTCCAATTTAAAGAAAGACCAAACAGGGGAAAGGGTGAAAGGGGCAGAGCCTGGGTCATGGATCATGCCAGGGACTCCCGTCACCTGAAGGCAGACTGAAAAACCAAGCAGGGAGCACCACTCACCAGGGAACTGGTAAGTGTAGCCAGGTGCAATGCCAGTGTAACTTCGACTTGCGTAGGTGGCAGCTTGGAAGCCTGGATAACCTGGGGGAAGAGAAAAGGGCTCTGTTACAGCAAGCTCGCAGGGTCCACATCCTCAGTGCCTGGCAGCTCACGAGCAGCGTGACCATTAGTGTTATAAAGCACAAATAGGGCTAATAGCAGAAACCCCAGGAAATTGCTGGGCAGAGTCTGCACACATGCAAGTCTGCAGAAGAGTTCTAGCAGGCCCGTTTAATTTTTTCCTCACTCCAAACATGTAAGGACATGGTGATTTCCTTCTCAGAAACTCACAGCTCTGCAGACTAAGGCTTTCTGATCCATCAGCTGCATTTACAAATAGGAGGAGATCAGGGAGTTTGGGGGCATTTGAACGGCTGAATAGCTCTGAGTCACTTTTGCACTAGAAGTGCTGGTGAATGCAGGCAGAGCACTTCTTCCTGGTGCTGGGTGGGAGGACAATTCCTGCCGTTCCCCAGGAAGCTGACAACCTATACAGAACGAGCCTGTCAGAACACAGGGCACTGACTGAGAGATGAATATTTGATTTGAGGTCTCCCAAGACATGAGTACGTGGATTTCCCAATGACTCAGCTTGAGCCTTGCTGCTTTAAATTCAGAAGGCTTAGAAAAGGCAAAACCCAAAACCACAGGCTGGAGTTTTATTTTCCTTCAATAAGTCAAGTGAAAACATTGGGGAAAAAAATGCCCTTTTTGGGGTTTTGCTCAGTGACTAACTGCTACTCAGCAGGCTTAGCAAGGAGAGCCAGGCTGAGTACACCCTGCCCAGCAACACCAGCGATGATCCCGAGCAAACAGTGTGCTCTTGATTCAGCTCAAGCCTGGCTAGAACGAACAGAGGGAGGGAGAGAAGCCAGGAACAGCACCTGCGCTGGAAGGCTCATGCTTGACTCTCAGGTCCAGGCACGAGGGTTTATAGACCTGAAGTGGAGGGCTACAAAGCACTTTTTTCTTTTTTTTAATCTTTTATCTGAACACATTTGCCTTAGAATCATTGATAGGCATGAAACCCAGCCTGCTTGTCACCAATTTCTCCTTATAAGACAGTCCCACAGTAAGTGTATGGTTTTCCTTGCAATACCAGATACTTGCTGTCCCTGAGAGGGAGGGAACAAAGACGAGACAAAGCTTAACTAGAACTTTAAGGGCATCTTTATAGTCTTTAAATGGCAGTGAGGACATTTATATGGACCACTGTTTCAAGTGGAAGCTCGGGGGCTCTTTAATCAACTAATTCAGCAGAAAGCCTGTAGAAGGGTGGGAGGAAGATGCCTGGGCACAGACTACTCCACACTCGATTCAGCTGCGTAGTAACATCCTATTCCACGAGAGCCATTGACGAATTACAGTCTATATGCTATGGCACTGCGGGACCGTTAACGGAGTTGCAGAGGGCCAGAGCTGCCCAGCACATGGCTGCGTCCCGCCAGCTCCTGCTGTCACAGGGCAGCAGTGACAAG